GGTTAAGTTGCTCAATAGTCAATACTAACATTCCTCCTCCGGTTTTCTACGAATGCACACGAAGGAGAAAAAAAAATACTAACATAATACTGTCATACTAACATAAACAGCGTATTCACTGTTCAATAACTTCGGGAACTTAACTTCTTTTAATACTATAAAAACTTATTTCCAAACGAACTGAACGTATGATATTAGATAATATGATTTAGAAACTTTATATAATTTTACACACTTTCAGTATATATTTTTGTTTAAAAGACTGATTGGAAAAAACTATTGAAAAAGTACACTTCATTCCCTTTAAAATCATTAAATACATTCTAATAGATGACATTATTTTTGTTTTAGCATAGCCAATAGGTATGCACTCATAAATAAAAAAGGTCATTGACCTCTTTTATAAGGATTTGAATCAGTATATTTAAAGAACAGAACTCAAAATCTATTTTACAGGCAATTTTAAATCTATAATTCGACCTAATAATTTGTAATGCAATCAAATTTTTACTGTTTTCCTCAAATGTATTTGTTAATCGAATTTATGAACATCCACATTGACAATTGAAAATACTTTTTAGTGGTAGGATGGCGCACGGGGAAGACGTTGGGTTATTCGCTCCTTCCCCTGCCTATACACGCAGACAATGGAAGTAGTAAGGAAAAAAACAATGGTCGTTAAGGCAGCCGTCGACGTTTGCAGGTCAATGTACGTTAATTCATGTAATAAAATATAGAATGAAGACGACCAGATACGTGTAACAACATAATATAAGATCATACCGACATTTATTATTCTAAATTATGTTTCTTCTTATTACATGAATAGTGAAATAATTAATCAGAGGTGCGTAAAATGCCAAAAGCAATAAGTTGGACTCTCAAACACACGCAAGCCGAAAGACCTGAGGGTTTAATTACAACAGAGATTTTATTTAAAACTCGTCACTTGTACTCCAATGAATAGTTATGTGTAATGTGATGTTGTATTGCAATCCTTTTTAGTATGGTCATTTTTTTTTATGCTACATTTTATATAGTCACTGTTGATACTTGTGTGAATCACAAATTATCATGCGAATTATCATGGAATTATCATGCGTGGCCTAGACCTACATCTACAGATTTTTAGTCATACATTTATTTACTCTATAGTCGAAAAATATAATAACAGACTGCGATAATTCGCCCGCTAATCAATTTAATATTTGCGTGACATCGACAATAATTACTAATCTAATGACAAATAATAATCTCGACCTTAACCCAACGATGGTACACGATGACTAACCAAAATTAGAACATCTCGAACAGTCACGACACAGTTTTTTAATTTTTTACACGCCTCAATCTGTGATATTGGTTAAGTAGGACAACGCGACCAACTAACAAAAAAATCACTGTGTTTAGTATATCACAGTGGTTTTTAATTAGTCCAACGCCCTGAGCGCACCAGCCCGTAAGCTTCACTTACCTCACACCACTATATTAATATAGGCCGAGCAGAGGCATACAAAGAAAAGTAAGACACGCATAAAGTTAAAATCATTTCATTAGCCTAAAAGGTGAAATCTCAAATGTCCGACACTTATATATAAATACATAAATCCATTGATTATGAGATTTTTGTTTTCAACATAATACAGATTAATGTGCTGTGAAGATTTAAATGGGAAAATAGCTGTAGTTGTTTAAGAAATATGGTCTCAATAGAAATGTTGTTCTTAATTTATTTTAAATGATATATAACGGTTTGGAGAAGCCCAAACGTACGCAGTAGTAGTAAGCGTTTTGTCTTTCAATGAAATAAAGTTAAGAAACATAGACTTGTGTGCATGGTGCTTGCGGTATGTCCAGAAACATCTTACACTATCTCTAGAGGACTTAAACGGTCAAATTATATAATTAATAAATATTATGAATTTGTTTTGGTCATTTTAATATGAAATACAATATTTTTAAACAATAATAACGATTAGGTATGGGTATCCGTGTAAGTAAGGAAAACGGGTATTAACCAGAGGGCATATGGTCGTTTTCCGCCAAAACCAGAATATTCACTGTTCCACTAGACTCTAGTGACTAGAGAAATAGTCGCGACAGTGGAACGGTGACTATGTCTCTGCATACCCTGCAATGGGTTCGAAACGCTAGCCAACCAAAGCGACATGGATAGAAGCGAAAATTATCGAATTAAAATTTTGAATTGGATTAAAAAATGAATCAGCTGGTTCACCACGTTAGCGATTGTAAGACCAAAGTGTATAGAGAATATTATATGGTTGTGCAAGATATTCATAATAATCTAATTCAGAATCATCTGCCATCACCACGATCGATAGGGCCACGTGGCAAATCGATTTTTTAGACCCTTACCCCAATGATATCCTCTTTCATCATTGTGTCGAAAGTCAGAAGCTATAATATCCCTTCTGTGACAGATCGAGCCGCAGAAAGAATCATTGTCGTTAGCGTGTGCCATGCGCAAGCCGGCATTAAACTAATGCATCAATCAAATAATAATCACCGCATGTTATTATACAAAAATAAAAAAATTCCCTCCACTTAGGTTAATATTTTATAAGCGCCTTAATATTTTTTATTACATCTTTTTAATAAGCTTTTAATTTTCTTTGTAATTGACTTAATGACCGGCAGTCGTGTAGTATGTTTGTAATTTTGTTTGAAACGATGAAACCCTATAATCACTTTTTAATCATTATACACATTACTAATTATCACAGTTTTTTGCGTATATTATTGTATACTACTATAATACTCGCGATAAATTGTTTTTTATCTTCACATTTAGATTAGTTAACTTTCTACGGCAATAATGATTAATAATACGATAAGACTTAGCATCTTTCAAAATAAAAAAATGAAAACAGATTTATAAGTTGGAGAAAGTAAGTATTTAATTAAAAAATATTTTTACATCTTTTAATCGTTTTTAAAAAGACTAAATAATATCAATAGCTAATTATTTTTTAAGTCTACATACTATGATCTCATGATAAAAATACATTAATTTAACAATTTAGTAACAGCGAGTGGTACTTGTTTTACTTTATACCATTTAAATAGCTTATAGGAAAACATTTATCGGTCCAGTTATCAAAACAATTCACGTGAGTCGTGCAGTACTCGCACATAATTTATGGTTTTAACAAAGGCTTTGAAGTCTACTTTAAAGCCTTTGAAAAGAACAGAAAATGTTATTTACGATCTACTTTTACTTTACTATTACTGTCAAAGACCCAATGCTTTGTATCTTAAGTGATGGAATTATCTTTTTTTATTACAATATTTTAGATTAGGTTTAAATATTGTGTGCTCTAATAGCAAACTCAATACTAAAGTACTACTATTTGAATATAATAATATTTCCGTCAAGCTGTTTGTATTTCTTACTTATTGTCTATCTTGTATGCGTTACGGGCATTCGCGTAGTATGTGTCTGTTTGAGAGTTGAGTTTTATAAAATTCGTATTGCGGATGCAGCTGGGTACTGAGAATCGATACTTTTTTAACAAACAAAAATTTTTTGACATTAGAATCAAGTTTCAATATTTTTCTAGTATACTGGCACATCTTTGATACTCGTTACGTTATAAAAAAAATTCTAAAATACAAGTTTAAATTATAATTTTGTTAACAAAATTGATAATTTCAGACATTTATACTTACACACTTTGTAACATAGTATAATTATTTTTAATTTTAACATCCATTAGATATGAGGTAACTAATTTTACTTTAGTAATTAATGCACCGATTTGATTAATTCAAACTTAATTCGTGTACGGCATTGGTACGCGTATCAGTATAAATGAATACTTGATACTTTTAAATTTATCAATAAATATTCGATACATTTATGGTGTATCATTGATACTTGGAATAGCTGATATAATATGGCCACCTCCGATTCTAGGGATACAACGGCGTTTTATCGTATCGACATGAAAATGTGTAAAGGTTGCCGAGGTCTTGGTTGCCACGGAAAACCCCTGACAAAGCAAGCGTAGCGCCCTTGGAATGCCCGATGACAGCATAACAAGTGTCCGTATCGGTTGTATCATAACACCATGATATTATTATTTGCTGTGCTAACGTCACGCCCATCTCAAATGCTCTGTATAATATACCATAACTAGTAACTACCGTCTTTCTCTTTGCCGATGTGCGCAGAAAAGTAAACACTCTAGGCCAAGTTCATTGCAATGCGCCGAACCGTGGCGCCCAGGCCGCCCACTACACGGTGACTTTAGCGATAGCAAAACATCGTAATAGCTAATAAGCGCGGACATCCGGCTCGTTACCGGACCACGCGGATAAAAAAACAATCCTATAATGCCAAACACCGCATTCCATCCGAGACAGCACCCATTTCTATCTAAGTTATGCGAGTCGACGTAACTAAAAAGCGACAACGATCAGTGTGTGTGTGTGTGCGTACATATTATAATATATACGAGTATGTGAGAGACGGATCAGAGAGATCGGATATGATACTGTAGACGCATCTATATATCTGTATACACAGATATATATATATAGATACCGAAAGACCGGTCCCCGGCACGTCGGCGTGGAATAGTACTTAAATAATTATAATAACTTTTGGTTCCCTTAGCCAGACGAAAGTGAAATGTGCTATACCTTACACGAAAAAAACCGCGCTCGTTGACTTCGCAGCTCCGCCTCGACCGCCAGACGAGCGTATACATAATGTACTTATACATATGCCTACATACACTTTACCGGTCGTCCTTCAACTCCTTCTCTTGCGCACAAACCGCGCAGGATCCCCTACCACTGGCTACTGTCCGACCGGCGAAGACCCTAAAACGCCACCGAATGTCGCAAACCACCTCTCAGTCGATACATATATAATAAACATCGTTTATATTATATAGTGTGTATGTATACATATGTAAACCTTATGAAACCCATACTCTTGCAATGCTAATAGTATAACAGTGACGTCGGCACAGCGGCAACAGCGTGCGCCCCGTTTACCCCCGCGATCGCAAGCGGCCTGCAGGCAATTACGGTTTTAACACACTCTTCGGCGGCAAACATAGTCAGTATCGTACTACGAGCACCGCCGTCCGAACCGCCGTCTCAGCTTTATGAAATAACATAATAATAATAATACTATAAAATAAAATAATTACAATATACTAATAGATAAATTATTATACAACAACACTAGCTCGGTAGTTAAGCGTGTGTGTGTGTGTATGTATGTGAATGCGTTTTGAGTGTATCGTTGTACAAGTCAAGTCGACCGTCTTCGAACATAAGTTTTTTTTTAACCCGGTATACATTATAATAACGAGAACGGTATAAGCGCCGAGTATCGACGGAAAAAAGGACATGATAGACAAAGTCAGTTGCTGAGACCTTTTCGTTTCAACCGCACGCGCAGTCGACTCTCTTTCTACACGCTAACCGACTTAACAGTGAGTACCATTTTTTTTTCATATTAAAATCTACACATATTATACATTTTTTTTAAATCAACAACGTGCCTATATCGAAAAAACCGCAAGATATCCTGGGTGAAGGTGCGTTATACGCCGTATAATCGCTTTCCCTCTTGTTCGATATCGATTATTACTTATTATGTGTTTTATAGAAAGCGAAAGAACTCGGTCGAAACTTTTACGTTTGCACGTGTTGGGCTGTTCGTTAAAACTGAACCTAGACTTTTTAAAAACCAAAATTCCAGTACGATAAAAAAACAGTGGTCACGCTTGGTTATTTTATGTATAGCTTGCGCAGGGATCGTTTCTGTGATGACATCCATAAAATAACTAAAAACCCGTTTAGTATTACCGAACTAGCATCAAAGCGACGCATACTGTAATATATTTTGTTTAAAAACCACATAAAAATTGTAAAAATTGATAACCGAATCCGTTAAAAGTAAAGTGGTACAGGATATACATAATTTATTTTTTCAAAAAACTGGGATTATTGTTATTATTGTTTAATTTAATATAATTATAATAGTTATTAGAAAAGTAAAAATTTTAACGATCCTCTGTTACAACCGAATCTTTGAGAAAAAAAATGAGTTACACCACTTCATTTTTTATGAGCTCAGTCATGAATTATATTCGTGTAATACACATTTAGCAAATTATATTCTTATAATTTATAAAAACCCTTTAATAGATAATACTTTTCTATAAAATTGCACGCCGGAAAATTCGACAAAACCTTTTAAAAATACATTATGGTAAAATACATAGCATGACAAATATTAATTACAAAAAAAATACTGTATACATCTTTGGTTACATTGACACATTGATACGTCAATGTTGCTTCTGTGAAAAATCTATACCAAATATTGTGGGTTTCCAATAAGTGCATGTTAATCATGAGTGGACGGTTGTATCGTTTTGAAAACTGTATATCTGTAGACTATTCTTCAAAAGCGCGTCAATGTCGTGGTGCTGGGAAAACATAGAATTATATTATGAACATAGCTGCCGGACTTGTAAAATAAAATAAAGTCATCTACGTGTGAATTTCTGTAAACAGAAATATAGTAATAATAAACTAATACAACAGCTGTCAACTGTGCCTAAATCGCAATATTATACCCAACGAGTACAACGACATGACGGAGACTTTAACGCAGCCGTACACAACGGTCGAGATTTTGTTGCGGGTCGGCGCCGTTCGACTGCAATTGTTGTATACGTTTGCGTTACACAGTAGTAGGTGTTAATAATAATGATATATAATATAATTTGATTATAACGGCCTAATGCTAAATCATTTCCGGCCCGGAAAACACTTTCTTGTGAACGGGTTCACACGCGCGCGGAGTGTCTTTTTATTATGATCGATATATTGTGTACATTATATAAATTGGGAAGAAACTCGGTATATGCCTATAACACACCACGTTCACGTTTCGGACACACTATACAGTCGTTTACTATTATATTATTTTGCACGTCGTGGAAAAAGACATGACATAATACTTACTTATGATGGAATGAGATATAGTCACCACAGTGGTAGGTATGCGGTGTTTTCCACTTTTATTGTGGTTTTGCACAGCTGTTAATGTAATCGAGTCATAGATCTGTTTGAAGGGTTAAAGTCGCCTGTCGTTTATGATCTGCAACTATTACTACCCCCGGCCATGATAAAAATCGAAATGACCATGTATGGTTCTTTTATATTAATGATCTTCAAAACGACCGTGAACCGCGTGAACAGCTATAGCGGTTTACCCATTGACAATTGGTCTTGGACAAAAGACATCGTTACAATGGATGCTGGCTATACTAATAAAATATAATCTTAACTAAACTTTTGTCTATTCTAACCTTCATCGCATGCCGATTATCAAATACATACTTAAGTATATTTTACACACGGTCGACTTTCTTCAGGTTACCCCACGTCCGCAAGTCGTTTAAAGTAGATCTCGACGCTTGTAAAACTACTACCACAATGCAGATCCATGGGCGTATCTATATTATTCATGTTCATTATTCATTGCGCAATTCCAAAACGACTCTACCAAAACGCTTCGTCATACTATTATCTACTTTCTGCGGCTCAATTCTAAATACCTACTATAACACTAACACCACAACAACATACAACATTATGACCGTTTATATATCTACCAATCCAGATTTGTTCAGTGAAAACAATATATTATTATAATTGTTCTCAATACGAGCGACCTTCTATATTATGGTTATTAATTATCGACGATGTCTAATGGGATTTTTTTTGTTCAACATCTATTAATATAGTGACGGCGTTTATACTAGACACAATATTAAATTTAAATTAAACTATCATAAATACGTATTAGCTAACACTTCTATTGTGTCGGGAATACAGAGTATAATTTAAACCTAATGGATCTTTATAAAAAAAAAACGATCTTGGATTTAATATATATATATATAACATATTGTTACCTTGATTGGCGCCTAATTATTGAACGAATAAATTAGAATATTTTTTTTTACTTTCACTGAATAATATTATTTCTGATGTCGCGATTATATAGTTATCACGGAATTAATTGGTGATTAACATTTTTTTTTCTTTTGATCAGGTTACATTTTCAATGCCAAAAACCAGCCTTATTAATAAAACGTAGACGTCTGGATAACAACTTTGCAGTGCCTATGGGCTATAATACCGCCAATGAAAATATAAATAAATAAATATCGTTCGGCGTTCCGAGTATTATACAGTAGAATGCATTGACCTTAGAGGCGTTCGATCGTTGTTTAAAATCCGTCATCTAAATTAGTGGCATCCCACACAAATACTATCTTGGTAGTATTTTTTAAAAAAAATTATTGATTATAACATAGATACTTTTCCCGGTTTTTTGCTATATTTTGTTCGCTTAGTTTTTTCTGTGATAATTCTGTTGACATCCTAAAAAATGATTGATAAATGTTAAGCCTTCGCATAAAAATTACACTGAGGCGTTCAGCAATCAGCTCCACATAGGAAAATCAAGTAAAACAAGCCATCTTCGTCTGCACAGTTCCACAAATAATGTCAATCTGTAATATAACAACCATAACCATTCATTAGTGCGTATACTATTTATTCGGTATTATTAAATTACAAACAATATAACCAACCACAACCGTCGGACACGGGTGCAGAATTTTTTTGTTCTTGTGTTTTTCCATTATTGATGTTGTATTATTATTATTATCTAACATTGGTAATCCGACTAAGGAACATAGCCTTCGAATTCTCTGAGCTAGCGATCAAATAGGAGATGTCGATGGATTTTCATTTACACTGACGAATTTCTTGAAAGTTGAACTACTACTATAATTAGTGCAATTAGTCGGTGCGATACCATCGTGGTCGGCTTTACTAATAAAAAGATGTATGAAGCATATTCCCTGCGAAAAAAATCGTACAACGTGATCACGATCAAACTTCTTGCACGAATATATATAAATATATATATATATATAAGTGTGTGTGTGTATGTATAGGTATATAAATGCACTTTCTATAATATTAATATCATCAAGACGACGGTGATTTAAAAATTTGCATTCTGTTTTAAGTGTCATTAATCATCGTGATGAATATAATAATATATACCGGATGCCGGGAAAAAAATCGCTTAAAATCCCAGCAGTGAATATGGGAGGAATACCTACGTTGATTCGAGTGAAAGGGAAATCGATTGTATATTATACTATACGAATATAGACTGTGCGATACGCGTTTGGTTACTTTGTACACAAGAACATTTTGGAAAAAGATGCAACTCCCACGCGGACGGAAAATGTTAGTGTTATTATATACTATATTAAATACCGTTTGTAATATTGTGTATTATAAACGAACAATGCGAATCTTCTTATACATATACACAGGATGCCTCCTTTTTCCTTTTCATTGTAATCGACGGTCGGCCACCGCAGTATGGATATGGATAGATAAAAAACACAAAACCGCACATTTTGAAAGTCAGTGATAAACAAATCCTGACCGTGAGATGCGCGTAGGTGAGTACACTGCACTCAAAGCCATGAAAACTGTATTGTTTGCTAAGAAGAAGTTACGATTTATGGCGTTTAAAAAAATCTTTTCTCCTGGCTTACATTTTATTATTGTTATTGTTTCACGCTTTGTAGTCCTGCCTATTAATTATGCAAGCCATTCGTATCAATGTACATAATATGCTATCAAATCATACAAGCCGCTAGAATTGCATTAGAAATTTACCAATCACCGGGTGTTTATTTAGTTTGAAACTCTTTTTGCCATCCAACAAATGTTAGCAACTAAACTGACGTAGCTCCCCAGTCTATTTTACCCAAATTCTGCTGGTGCTCTGTTTCTGAGCTCACCCCCCCCCCTCCCAGTATTTGGAAAATTTTAATGTGATTTATAAATATAATTTACATTTTAAGACAAATTATTTTCAAACAATTTACTTGTTGGGTTATAAAATGAATCAAATTCAACTATGTAGGGGTATAAAGCGTAACAATAATAAATTGGTGGAATGTTGGGGACTGAAAACTTTCTATACACTGAGACAAATTTTCCAAAAGAGCAAAAACAAAGTTAGTTTGCACTTACAAATCTATATGTGAATCGTTTCAAAGGCGCTAAGTTGCCCCCAGCCCCACTGTAATTTCTTTTTGGTCGAATGTATCTCTAAATTCGATAATAGTCCAACATATATATCGTTGAACAGTACCATTATCTTAAAATCGAAAAAAATGGACAAAAAAAACATTTCTTTCCCTGTGCCATTCATATAGGGTGAAGGAAGGTATTTTCGTGGCATAAGCAATTTCGTGATATAGTTTGTTGATCGTATCGCGTAATTCCTTCGTGATTTTCAAGACAATTTTCTAATAGGGAATTGCGGTACGATCAACAAACTATATCACGAAATTGCTTATGCCACGAAAATACCTTC